ACGCGTTAAATGAGTATATTTTTATTGAGATTTTAGGTAAGGGGGGGGCGCCGTATTCTAAATAATTATTACAATGAATTATTATTTTGAAGGTTATCGTAAAAAAAGGTCTATCGTAAAAGGTAATATACCGTGGTTCATTGTTTACTACGTCTGAATGATTCATTGTAGACCATCTAACTTTTTCCACGATAATCTCCTAAATAATGTGGTAAAATAATATAACAGAAAAAGTTGCTTACAGAATAATAAAGCCAAATGTGCACACAAAACTATTGCACAATGAAAAAAATGATAGACATAACAAAAACATAAAAAATATGTAAAACTTACGAAAAAAACTTGTTTTCTAATCCAAGATTCTTAAAATGTGACATTATATAGCCGTCATCTGCGCAGTCGACTGGTGAGCCAAGGTTCAAATGCGAGTCACTGCATGATAGCAGCACAATCTGATAACGTCACATTTACGAAATATCGCAATAGTGTACGATGCAGTGCATTAATTCGTTAGATCATAGTAGCTGCCCGACTTATCGACGTTTATTTTTTTACTCAAATACTATCAATTTTATAGAAAAACTGCAAAAGACAAAAATCATTTATTTTCTTCTCACAGAACTCTAAGAATTTTTTCAGAATTTTTTATCAACTTTTTAGTACTGCATTTTCTTATTTTCGATAAGTCGAGCTGCTATGACCCTGCAAATTAATGCACTACTCTGTACTACTGGTTTATTGTTTGACTACCTACTCTACATTTTTTGTATGTAAAAGGAATCGGTATGTATTTTTATTTCAGACCCTCAAATGAAATATATCCATCTTATCCCTCAACATACCGATAAATATTATCAAGCAGAAAGCGGCAATTATGTTCAGTGGGTCGTATACGTCGATGGATGGCCCAAAGCCCATTTAGCGTGGTAAAGTTTTACAATGCTTTAAAAAGTATAATAAGAAAATCTACTTTTTAAAATTAGAAAATTATATTAATGTATTCATGTATATGCAAATAAATTAATCAATCACGTGTAATTAAGATATTTTCTTGTATTTTCCGTTACTTGTAATAAATATGTTAAATATGTACTTTATTTATTGTAGGTTCAAACCGAATTCTGACGAAATTATAGAGAGCCCAAAATATTTCGTGAATACAAGTGCAACAGCTACTATTTTGAAAATCATGTCATTAAGTATCATAGACTCAGGAAATTATACACTTGAAGCAAAAAATGATTACATGATCGAAAAATTGAACTTTACATTAAATGTCATAGGTATATCGAAATTATTTTGTAACGTTAACTAAAAAAGATTGTAGTAAATACACTGTAAACATAATAATGTACAACTATTTGTTTATAACTGTAGTCATGTTGCATTACTATTAATTTCAGCTAAGCCGGTTTCTATATTGACGCGTATTGACTCCTATTATCCACCAAACGAAAGTACAGAATTTCATTGTGAAGTAATATCAAATCCATCTCCGAATATAACATGGAGTTTTCTGAGATGTCCTAATTATCCATCACTTGAAAATTCAACAATTGTATATCCGACGGTAAATACAACTTTATGTTAACTTGATTTTATTAGGTACGTCTCTATTTTTATCTTTATAACAAGAAAATTCTATGAATTTTATAGGACATGACGCAAAGCGCAGCTTATAGCTCTAGTTATAGATTCGAATCGATATTAAAAATGCCCCTCGAAATATCCGGAAAAATAACATGTAAAGCTTGCAATGTCCTTGCCTGTGATTCTGTGACTGACAACATTCTTATTTCAGGTAAGAATATTTTAAAAAATACTTAATGATACTTTTTTGTCTAAATTGTGTGTTATAATTTGAAATCATATTTGTAATCATATTAATATCGTTTGATATACTTTGGATGTGTCAATTAATGAGTTAAATTTTGTAAATAAGAGGATTTGTTTATTCTAATTGTAAATCTATTCTAAAAAACAGACAAGACAAATCAATGAATACTAAGTGATTGATTATTAAATATAATTGATTTTTATCTTTTTATTGAAATGTATAAACCAATCGTAATAAAGTATTAATGGCAATCATTGATTTGCATGTAAAAAATAAATATAATAATCTTTCTTTAAATTTTAATTAGATGGATTAGGCGCGTTTGGTATTATTGGACCAAAAGAGCCTGTGACAAAAGGTGATGACATAGAATTAATTTGTGCGGCGTCCGTTTATAATTACACAGATGCGTTTACATGGACCGTATTAGTAAATGAAACTGAAGAACTACTTATGGAAACAGGTAATTATTTTAACAGAATTGAATCGAAATAAATTAAAAAATGAAAGTACTTATAAATATCAAAGATAATATAAATCATAGAATCTTTTTTGAGAAAAATAAATTCTGAAAATGTTAATGCTTTTACAAAAAATGATAGGTAAAAATACAATTTATATATTATGCGTATGATAATTTAATATTTGTAATTACACTTAAAATTTATAATATAATTTTTATAATAATAATTATTAGTTTCTTCAATTAAGTTAAGTATAATAATATCTTATTAATAATTTAATAATTAATAATATCTTATTTTTTTATATTATTATTTATTATACATATATATTATTTTTATATTATGATGGTATATAAAATATTATAAATGTTAACAAAAATACACGCACCCGCACACGCACGCACGCGCGTACACATACATACAGATGATTTAAATATTGATTATATCTTTATTATTTTTAGAAAGATTACATATTGTGCGACATAAAACTCCATTCACTTATCGATCAACGTTGAAACTCTATCGTGTTGAAGAATCAGATGCCCAAAATTATTTCTGTACTGGAAAAATTATGAATACAATGTATTATGAGGCCCCAGAGACCCTTTCTGATTATGCTAACTACAAATTAATTATTCACGGTACATTAATATAATTATTCAATTTATAGTATTTATACATATATTTAATAATTGATTTTAATTCACAATTAATATTTTATAAATACACTTCTTTCAAAGAAGTTTTATACAGATATTTAATATTTAATAAATTTGGAATATTTTAAAAATTTATATGAAATATATGAAAATATACAGGATATTCCTCAAATCGATTGTTACTTTATATGTGTTTCGATTCTTCTTTACGTATTTCGACGAATCAATTCGACGATTACTATTTCTGTATGTATGTTCCTATATATGTTCTCTCTCTACATTAATGTTTATTTACATTTGTCTCTGCTTTAATTATCGATGACAAATTCGTGAATTATCTTGTAAGTATTAATTGAATTATCTTAGGATTAAGTAATTAACATATATGATATGTTAATTATAATATTATATATATATCGATTAATTTATCTTTCCATATATGAAAATATAGAAAAAAAATATGGTTCTAGTTAAAAAACATAATTTAATTTTAGTTTGTTAAAAAAATAAATTTCGAAATTTTTCTTACACAATTATTTTTTTACTAAAAATCGACAACCTTTAAACTTAAAATTTATTTAGGGCAACTTTTTAGAAAAATTTTATCGTCAACATCGAAAGTATCTCATAAATCGTGGCAACCGATTCGAGGAATATTTTGTATATCTTCGTATACATAAAGCTCATTTATTATAAAAATATACCTATTATTCTAAATCAATATCTATTTACATGATAAAATGTTTAAACTGATTTTTTTATACAATTAATGTTATATAGATCCGGTACCACCATATTTTACCAAAACAAATATGAATGAA